GCGCCCTTTGCACCCGTCACCTCAGGGGGGCCGGGTGCACCCTCGTCACCTCAGGGGGGCCGCGCGCGCCCTTTGCACCCGTCACCTCAGGGGGGGCGGGGCGGGGGCCGCGCGCCCCCTTCGCCCCTCTCCCCTCAGCAGCCCCAGGCGCACAAGGACTGGGGGAGGTTGTGGGGGTTTGGATTTGGGTTTTTTTTTTTTCTTTCTTTCTTTTAAATCATCTTTATTTTTTTTTCTGTTACTTCAATTTCCCATAGCACCTTGGCAATGTCAAAAACAAATACAAATACATGTATTCATCTTTTTTTTTTTTTTTAACATTTAAAGCATGAACCTACTTTTCACAATTTTTTGTTTTGGACAGTTTTTCTGACAACAGGAATATGCCGGAACAAACAAAAGTAGAGAAGCCAGATGGGTTGCTTTTTTTTTTTTCTCCTCCCCTCCTTTACCTGAAGCCCGACCACGTTGGAGAGAGATCACAAATGCCAAGAGGCAGCGGGGAGGAACAAGATGACTGTAATAACGTGAGTTCAATATATTATCTGAGTATTTTGTATTCTATAAAAATTAGAACAAAAAAAAAACCTTTTATGCACAGTTTGTTTACAGTTGAAGTTGCTTTTTTTTTTTTTTTTTTGGAAACTGTATCCATAACTGAAGCTCCATAAAAATAAACCTCTGGTTCTTAAATATAAAATTTTAAGGTGGTTACAGGTTAGGTTGCAGATGCATTTTTTTTAAGTTGATTTAACTCCATTTCAAGTCCTCCCAACTGTACATTAAAAAGAGACTCAATTAACCTCTTGAAGTGCCTATGCTAAAGGCACTTAAGAGGAGAGCCAACTAAAATACTACAACAAACCAAAATTATGTACCATCCTAAGGAAGCTCAGACTATAAGTAATATATACACACACGCACACAAAGAGCATGATAAAATCATTCAGATTAATGGCAACAATCTTATGTTTCAGAAGGAAATATCAAAATTAGAAACAAAAAAAATCTATTGCATATCTGTAGTAATCAAGGATTTACAAAAAAACTTATCAGAAGCAATTTCCCCCCGAAGTGCATTTCTGTTGCATCGTCTGTAATACAATGGCGCATTTTACAAATTTAAAATATCATCTGTACATACCAGATATTTTTTCCCCAAGTGAACATTCACTTGGGTAACAGTAAAAATAGTGGACATTTTCAAGACAACTAAGCAGATATTGACAAAGTAGTAAGGCCATAGCTATGTAACTACAGTAAAGCATCGATTAAGTCACTTATTTGCTACTGATCTGCCACAGTATCATCTTTCTCTCTTGGTTAAYAGGGTGGGTTACTTTTTATTTTTAAACCTACTGCTAAAACTGCACCATCATACTGTGCCAGGCTAACTTAAGAAAAAAAGAAAGCAGGAATGTAAGAGACTACAAAAACTAATAACTTTTGAAAAGAAAGCTGCTTTTGCACTTTTACTTTACTATCACATGCAGATAATTACTCTTCTCACTCCCCAGCAGCAGTGCRAGAGAGGGGCCCAATCTTTTCCATGCACAGTAATTCGGAAAAGAACTTAACTGGGGAAGTTTACTTCCGTAGCTAACAAAAGTCACTACTTCTGAGAACAGATCAAAATCCATGAAAGCGAAACTGAACTTACGGTATTTCACATCAGCAGAGTGGGATAGAAATTCTGTTCACGTCACGTGGCGAGCTACCAGAAAGGAACTGAGAACGGTCATTTCCCCGCTTCACCTGCGCTCCGAACACCCAGGTTGAACGTGGGGCAGTTTCACCTCTGCTCAGAGGGATGGTACAACTCCCCGGAATTCCGTGGGCTGCCCCAGCAGCCAACCTGGCTCCCAAGGGATCCTTTTTGTCCCTTTTTACTGCCCAGCCCATGGAAGCTAGCGGACTGAGACAGAACAGTTTGCCTGAGTCTATCACGGGGATGAGAAAGTAGCAGCTAGCCAGCCTAAGCTACGTGATTGCAGTGCAATACGAGGACTGCAGGAGAACTTGCACACAAAACTAGGGGTTTCACAGCCTTTTATAGTGACTTGGTTGTTCCCTCCAACACACACACACRCACACACACAMAAAAAACCCTAGAGGAAACAAAAGAAAAACACAGTATAAATGGCAGGGGCGCAGGGAGGAAGGGGAATGCTGTTAAATCCTTGCACGCAAGTATTAAATAAATAATTATGAGTGCCCTAATCTGACAGAAGTTTGAATATGCTGGAAAAAGCCAACAGGTTTACAGATTTATTTGCATACACTGTACAAGAGCTGTAATCTGCTGCTGCACACCCAGGACATACAAAAGCATCCTTTCCACGGTCAAGTTTTTCCAATCACCTTAACAAGATTGAACTGTAGCAATTCTTTTTTCCACATCTATTAAATGAAAAAGGCTACATTTCACAACGGTTAGAAATAAAAGTCAAATTCTAGCTTTCAGCACTACAAAGGTACTCTATGCACTGCACGGGAGGCAGATGCCCGCGTGGGCTGGCATATGCCACCTTCACCRTGGAGGCCAAAGCCCAACATCTGTAGAAGCCTCTTCCCAAGAGCTCCTCCTTTAACAGCAGCCAGCTTAAGGCAGCTATTAGCATTTCAACATTTATTCTACTTTGCAATGACAGTGCACATCTATCCTAAAATATCTGTGACTATTGTACACAACAGATTTTTTTCCAGTTTGACTGCAGTAATTGATTATAGACTTTAAAATGACTCAAAATTAACTTTGAAATCATTGCATTTCAGAGCTTTAACACTTAAATATTTAAAAACTTCTCTATTATGCCATCAAATGTAGCATTATCCCAATAAATGGAGAAGGGGTTGGTAAGCATCCCTAAAYTGTAGACGTGATCAATGATTTTTTACTAAATTTAAAAAATTCCCAAACCCAGTACAGGTAGTTTAAAAGTAATGATTTTCTTTTTTAATATATATATATGTGTGTGTATATATATAACATGCGTAGAAATGAACAGTTAACAGCATAAATACATTATATTGTGTTATGAATCAAATCAAAGCAATTGCCAAGCTGAATAATAAGTTAGAGAAATGACAACTCTGGCTTTATATATATATTTATAAAAATAGATATGAGTGTTCTCAAAGCAGCTGATAAAGAATGCCTACTGAGTAAGAAGTCGCCAAGGGTTATCTGGCTACGAAATCAGAAGATGAAAGTTTTCACAGTTATTTTAACTGCCACTTACATTCATTCTAATGGCAACACTAGCATATATTACTAAGATGTTTACGGTATATATCACAACTGAGTTTTCCAGTGTTCACAACTTACGACTTTAAATTTGTACACTTGCTATTCACTAAAGAAAAATAAAGAAAAAAAATAGGTTTGATTCTTACTGCTGGAAGCTACTTTTCCCTAACACTTTATACAGAACTTCGAACCTGGCATGCTGATTTTGGCAGATTAATGCATTGTATTTTCCTATTTCGGTCATTACAGTCATCACCTTGTAAACTTAACCACTTCTTCACAATAGTGTTGCAAATTTAGTCAGCATAAAGCTAGGCAAGATGCTACCTTTCAACACCAGGGTTTTTTCTTTAGCTCTTTGCCTTCAGTTCCACTTTAAACTCTTGAAAGAGAAAGAAGTCAGTTGCTACCACTTCAGCTGAAAACAGCGAGTTCCCAGTACGTATAAACCCTGATTTCTCATACACAGCATCCAATTCCCTGCTCYGGGACACACAGGCCAGTATATGGAAAGCTGGACGTTGTCCCCAGATCATTAACGGTTCAAAGAGAGACATCAGCTGAACATTTGGGGAGAAGGGGCCAGCGCTGCGCTCAGAGCGCCCACCTGCAAGGCCCAAAGCCCTCTGTCTGCAACAGCAAGGTCTGCCTCTCACCGTGCAGAGCTAACGCGCTGCGTAGCCATCCAACAATCCTCTGCCAGGCCTGCCTCTGCAAAACATACCAAGATAAACGCACAAGAGCCTGCAATAAAGAGATTAGAGAAAGTAAAAAGAAAAACAACAATAAAAAGTTGCCCTCAAAAGGAGGCAGGGAAAGGGCAAATTAACAATTCTGACATGCTCCCTTCCGCCTCCTTCCCATTGCATCTAGAAGACACTTTTTGCTGTCCATGTGCTCTGATCTACAATCCAGTCTCCTGTAAATACTGCAGTTTAAAAAGCTTGCTGAATGAGTCTGTAAGCTCAAGAGACTATACTTCCACCTGGAAACACAGATTTATTACAGTAGTACATTCAGTTTTATCATCAGTGACTAAGTCATGACAGTATCTGGCTGCAATCATTCAACTCGCACACTGACCAAGCACCTCAGCTGCAGATGTGCTCTGCAAGGCAAGGCCATTAGTGGCAGACACATCATCCTACAAGCCAAATGTTAAATAGGTTAAAAAAAGTTCTAATTTTACAGAAATGCTTATTTTTTCAAAAATAATATTCTCTTAGCCTCTTCCTCCTACACTGAGGGACATGTTAATTTGTCAATTCTTATTTCTTCACCTTGTCAAAATGCTAGTTTCACAATCCCAAAACTGATTTCAAGCAGGAAACCCTCTGCAAATTAAAAACAAAAATACAAAAATTATAATCTCTAGAGTTATATTGATTGGAATCCTCCAGCATTTGTGAAATCACTTTTATAGAGATGAATTTTGGGACTCYCCACAACTTCTCCCTATAAGCCACACTCCAGTTCAGTATTCCCCTTCACGAATACTTCTCTCTCACAGTCTCCYCTGCTGCTCATTTGTCCACAGCTCAAATTAAATAGATAATATTTGCCTGGACGAGCATTACTTTGGTGACCGGGGTGGCACGTACTGCTCCTTGCCGATACGTCGAGGTGCTCCCTGAGGCGATGATCTGCGTCCAAACTGGCGCCTCTGTTCCCTGATTTTCCCAGCAGCTCCCCTGGGAGGCCCACTGCCTCGGAACCCGGAGTAATCCTTCATTCGACCTTCCACCTTGTCTTGAGCCTTTTCGGAAGTCTTCTCCGCAGCCTTCTCGGGTGTACCATTTTCTTCATTTTTGGCGGGGGAAACTACGTTGGTGCGAAGCTCCCGAAGAGGCTGAACAGGAACTGCAGGAGGCTCCTTTGGGGGCTTCTGGCAGACTTCAGCATAGCTGAGCTTACGTGGCTCCTTTGGGATCAAGGGTAGAAGAGCAAAGTTTACACAGCAGCCTGATCGCTCTGTGTCCTTCCAGGCTACCCTAGGCTCAGCTTTAAGGCACAACGGCCAGAATGAGTTCAGAGAACTAGCAGGCCACAGCGACAGGGAAGTGCACAAGCAAACCAGGGGTCCCAGGTCCTACACGAGCAAGCTGAAGAGACATCTGCCCACGCTCTCCACCCAGCTCCCGCCTCCGCACCCTACCTGCGGCAACACAGCGGGTGCTGCGCTCACATTAGTAGAGGATGAAGTGGTGTTTGTCCTTGGCAGCTTTGCAGTGCTGACGGGGGAGGCAGACACCGCTGGCGGCGCATGGCTTGGGACGTCTCTCTGAGCAGGTGCTTCTTCTGGCTTGCTCTCTGGCTGAACTGGGCTGTTAAGAACAATTTAACATTAAAATGTATGAATGCAAAAATTATGTTTGAGAAGGTATATTCTTTCTTTAATGTCACAGCTAGAGGTTTCACAAAGTAGGACTTTTTGGCTGTTATGACCATAACTCCCATCCTCTAGAGAGGCTGCCTACCACAACCAGAGAAGGAAGATTAAATGTTCCTCACACGCTTCTGACACGCAGAAGCAAGTTTTAATACTCATATTTCAAGCAAGCTACGTACCTTAACACCACAGCCTCAGTCTGACTTGGGGAACTCGCGCTTGCAACAGGCTGCTGGACAGGGCTGTGCATCTGTTCTTCCTGAGCAAGAGCTGGACAGCTGGACAGCAAATCTTTGCTTTCCTGCACAAAAAGCATAAGTTGCAAAACATGGGAAGATGACTGATGTTTAACTGAAGCACATGCCAGCTCTAGACATTTGGACTTACGACATTCTATGCACAGCTCGAAAACACAGATGTTTTAAGCAGGGAAGGAGAGAAAACGTCAACACAAGTATATTATTTGTACACATGAAAGAAGAGTAAGTACCTTCTCYTTGCAGATTCCTTTAACAATATCAGACATCCTGCTCTCCAGAACAGGCTCTCCCGGTGTTTTTGCTGTGCTGCCAGGCAAAGGTGGGAAATTTGATGCTAGCAAGTCAAACTTTGGTGTCTGAGTCTTTGTTTCTGCTGAAGGCTGAGGCCTCTAGAAAAAGAAAAGGCCCCTTAAGAGAGCTGTATCACCCAGCGTTCAAAGCACCCAGTGTCAGGAAATTTCTTAGGAACATGAAATCCCCACAGTGTGATCGGAGGACTTAGGGAGTATGTCATTCCTTCAGTAAACACAAAGCCAACACACTGCAGCTGGTGTCAGCTGCAGCAACGTTTTTCTGGAAAAGATTAGTCTAAAACTACTTAGGATTTGTGAATTACAAGATCTTCTATTGATTCTTATCTGCAGTATCTACAGATATCGTGTAGATAGTCAACATTTAGTTACCTTAAAAACCTAACTATGCAATCCATTGTACAAACGGGCAGAAACGTTCATCCTCCAGTATGTGAAACAAGCCCGTGCATTTCACACAAAACGCTCCAATAAGAGCAGCAGAACTTACTAAAATACGATCGTCTTCCCGTCTCCTCCGACCTCTGAAAACATTCCTCCTTTAAAGGCAAAACAAGGGCAGTAAGTACACTCATCTAGCTCTCAAGTACACGCTCATCTGCGCAGAGGGGAGCCTGGGGCAGGGGATTCTCAGCAGCCAACTGATATTTCCTCAAGCTATAGTTATGAGATGCTCCCTCTTTCAAGGGGCTCGAATCTTTCAAGGGGCTCGAACAATCCTGAAAAGCAGCCAATATGGGAACTGAATCACTTTTTCCTTGAAGGAAGTACCCTAAGGCACTGTATCTAAGCAAGCATGTTGATAATTTAGACTTCAGTATAACAGACCTTGCATTTATGGCAATATGAATTCCACGATTACTCTGCTAGCTGTTTTAATTGTGGCTACATGTCACTCCTTTTAAAATAAAAGCTACTCTTTATGTTACTGAAAGGTATTGGTAGCACAACTACCAATGCGTAGCAGAGCAGGAAGCACCCATGCTCCTAGCAGAGTTAAATATTTATCCATTTACTTAAATGTCAGTTTTCCCTTGTTCACTTTATGGAAACAGGCCTTGTGCCAACGGTTGACATTCCTTGGCTTGTAGGATTCCTGCAGCACATCCAGATCCTCACCTGCCCCTGCCGATGCCGTAATCCCCATTCTGTTCCACGGGCGCGGCAGGACAGTCCTTCTGGGAATAGCCTTGCTCTTGGTGCCCTGCTAACGTGCTGTTATGCCGCTCCRCGACAAAGTTCCTGGAGCCGGTTCTGTTCAGTGGTCCTTCCCCAAGGGCGGCGGCGGCGGGCCCCTCCGCAGCGTGTTCCGAGCTGCTGGGCGGTCGGAAGTGCGGCTTCACACTGCAGGAGGCACAGCAAGAGGCTGCGGTAACTCAAGACTTCAAGAACACGGAGCAAAACTGCACCACCAACTACAGCTAGTTTGCAGCTGACGAGAGAACAGCAAGCACTGGAACTCCGACGCCAGAGAAGRGCAATTGCCTACATACATTTGCCAACTGTCAATTGCAAAACAAAGAAGTGCTCTTCCTTACCTGCATCTACTCCTTTCATTCTAGTTCTCTTGCCATCCCCCACCCGCAAGCGTGGCCATTAAAAGGTGGTATTGAGACTGACAACCTGACAGATACTAAAGGAAGAAAAAAATAGGGGCAAGAACTGTCTCAGCTGAAACCCCAGGAGGGATTCTGCAGCTGTCTGGGCCCTAAGGTGCTTGAAAGTGTTCTGTAGAACGAAACACCACCCAAGGAACAAGCTGATCTGGCCAGGAGCACAGAGCTGAACTGGAACAAGAAGCCAGAGGCAGACAAGGACTGAAGGGGCTGGAGAGAGCAGGGTAGATGAGGATGGGGCGCCTGAGGGCTCCAAGAGTCAGGGTCTTCACCTCCTGCTTCCATTATCAAGCAGCCGCAATGTTGACTCTGCAGTCTGCCATCCCCACACACTTTACCCAGTTATTGATTATTTAGCATCAAAGCCATATTTTCTTTGAACTGAGATGCAGCTACACGTGTTCAGTGGCTCTGGTCTCAAACAGAGAATCCCCCAGAAAACGCCCTGTCCCACCACAGTGCAGCAAAGCAGCACGGAGCAAAGCCAGCTTCCAGAGGGGCATTCACACAGGCACTCAGGTCCTTTCCACTTCCACAACTTGCTGTCTTTCCAATTTGGTGACAATTAGCTCCAGCAAGCGAGGCAGGGATCTCAGATTACGAGCTCTGCATGATCAGCCCTGCGCAACCCACGGCTTACAGACACAAGGAGAGAACTTTGTGTGTTTGCAGCAAGTCACTGTAGGAGCATTCAAAAACAACRCGATCAAGGAGTAAGTTCTCCCACTGCCAGTGAAACTACGATACCTGTGTGGGAACAGGAGTTCACACTGCTGTATGATCTCCTACAGAACTACCAAGCAGGTGCTCGATGCTGTAGGTTCTAAACTGGTTAGCAGAGTGTAGCTTCCTTCCAGCTTCCACCCATTACTTGTTCCCTCCCATTTGGCCAGGGAAATTAAAGTTGGGAACACAGGAGAATTAATGAACAACAGCAATTTATTGTTTGCCCCCACAGGGCTGCTGAATCAGAAGAGCAGTAACTGATCTGCTCCTAGCAGCACAAGACCCTTCGCTTTGCTCTGTCGTTCTCCAGAGTATTTTAAATCAGCTCCAYGGCTCTGACAGGCTTCTCCACAGCCTTGCACTTAACAGGCAGAAGCTTTTCAGTATCTTATATGTAACAAAAGTGGAAGAAGCTTCACCTGAACTTATAGCCCAGTTCTGAGTATTCAAATTCACCTGCTCCATCAAACATATTTTCAGTGATCTTTTAAATGAGTGGAGTGAAAAATACCAGTTTAACCAATAGTAGCACTGAGGATCTCTGTCACAAGACACAGCCTTCCATTCCCACAGGCATGTTGCAACAAATGAGGACTAAATAAACACGAGCAGCTTAAACAAATGTTTGTTTTTACAGACCAAAAAGCCCAATATTTAACTTGTGACTGCCTGTGTGACAAAAGTTTAATGGGCCACAGGACAAAACTAAAGCAGCAGCATCTCTTCTGTGAAAGAATCTTCTGCGGTTCATGGGGAGATGTGCTAAACAGACTAATTCATATTTAACAGCTTCAGTAAGCATTAGGAAGCACATTTCAGACCCAGTGATGTTTCCCATCAGCAGGGCGCACAGGAGAGAGAAGATAAGGCAACTGACTTTCTCCCATTTTGTTCAGTTCCCTCTTAAAAGGGAAGAGCTGTGCAAGTCATTATTCAGCCCTCAGATCTCATAATCTTACCCGTCATTGAGAAGGCCACAATCTCGGCCTGGGCAGAAGAGCAAAGCAGAAAAGAGAAGGAAAAAGGAAGAGGAAAAAAGCAGAGAGAAGAAAACAGGATGTGAGAGAGTAGAAAGAAGGAAACGCAAAGTGCAGGCTGCCCAGGCAACCAACTGTTGGACCTGTTCTCTAAGCGCGATACTTGATCATCACTGGGCCAAACCTGCACAGCTGCACCTCGCTGTTGCCTTTCCAGTCTCCCTTTTGGGAAGAGATCCTGTTGAAGGATAATTAATGCCCRCTTCCAGATTCTGAAGCTCTAGCACTGCAAAAGCAGAGCTTTGTACTAGTACAAAGGCTGAGCAAGCTTGGCAGGAAAGATAACACGACCCAGATGGAGTAGCAGAACCTGTACACACACGACCCTGAAGCTGTAACTCCAAAATGACTGAAGCTTTGCAAATTTGAARTCTTAAAATAATCAGGAGGAGCTTTTAAAGCTCAAAATTATCAGACAGGATGTGAACTACAAGCAGTGAGTGAATGAGTGAGTGAGCAGTGAGTGGGCATTTCAAGGTGTCACTCTTCAGGTAAATACAATTCCTGCACAGTTTCAATATCTGTGCTTCTCTAAGATGATCCATGTGATGCTTACAAAACTCTTCCTTTAAGATTGTGCACAACCTAAGGCAAAACTATTTTCTAAGAGGCCTTAGTTGGGTGCTGCACAGCTGTGAGTGACTCCATTGCCCAGTGCTCCGGGCCCAGCTGTCCCACCAGTGTGAGCCCCGTGTTCGGGCGCCACTGAGTCGGTGCAGCTTCCAAACTCACACTTTGCAAACGGCCACCAGCTTTAATTGCACCAAAAAACATTACCATACTGGCAGTTTTCAACTGCCTTCTCAAACAGGATAAAAAGCTGTTCCTATGCTATCAGCCCACATGCCCAATACAGYAAAAGAACTCGCAAATAAAACAATTTCCACCCACGCAAACAGATTAATACTCCATTGTGTTTCCAGAGCACTGTTCCAGTGAATATAAAGCTGGTTCCTCCTCTCCGATGTTTGTATCGGAGCAGAGTCCTTATAGTTATCTGGAAAGATGGCAATACAGCAGATAAATCACAGTGACACACTCAGTATCAAGCAGTTTAGCACRGAGACACCAGGGCATGCAACTCTCAGCTGTACAAACTGAACAGCTATCTACAAATCTGACACAACAGCAAAAGCTGAAGTTTGTTTTGCAACAGTTTACAACCCATATACAACAAACCATTATAAGTACTACCTTAAGAGGAAGTTATTTGTGTGTCTGCAGAAATTTCTCCGTGGTTTTTAGAAGAGATACCTTTGCTCTCTCCAACACATATGTCCATTATTTTGGGATCGCAAGCTGCCAAYTTTATTTTTTTAATCAAGTAGAGCTGAAAAATGCCATGTGTATTTGACAAACAAAGCGAGTAACCTAGCCCCATTACAAGGCGCTGCACTTCAGAAGCGCAAGGATCCGAATACTGTAAATTCTCAGAGAGCAAAGCAACTGACAGAGCTATCTTACCGATTTCTATGGAATGGGCGACCTATACTCAAAGAAGCAGCATTTGTTTTATATGATCCTGGTGTATTAAAGCCATTCATAAATCCACCGTTAGGAAAGGGGGCCTGCAACAGACAGAACAGTCTCAATGGCCGAGCYAAAAAAAGAAATGTTTGCATTATACGAGATCAGCTTCAGTAGTTATTATCCAGTCTGCTTTACTTTTACACTGGGTTACCACATCCAGAAAATTGCAATTGCACTAATTTAAAAAATAAACAAGAGCCCCACTAGGTTAACAATCTGCAAGTCTACTTTAGTCCCAGAGTCCTCTGGTTCCAGAACAAGCTACAAAGCTCTTCCAGTAACACAAGTTACTAGATTATGCATAAATGGAGTTTCACATCAAAATTCCTTGAAATAAACTGCAGCCAGTGGCGAGCCACACAGCTCCTTTGAGTCTTGCATTAGGTCTGTGACATCAACTGAAGGGAAGTTCAGTGGAACAGAAGCAGAGGGATCTGACTAGAAAATCTGTGCATCCTGCAGCCAAAAAACCCGCCACCACATGGTTTTGTTATCCAGATTATCATTTGTGCTCTGGGCTGGCAGTGGGYCTGTGATCTCAGGCCTGAGCCCTAGTCAGCAGTTTCTGAAGCCTCCCCTCGTTTCCCCCGTTAGCGGCCGTCACTCACCAGCGGCGTTTCGAAGTAAGGTGCAGGGCTTGGCGACCACGTCTGAGGCACAATGCTGTAAATAGAGTACTGCTGAGGACTATATACAGGCTGCATAAACAGTGGTGAGGCAAACTGTGCTTGGGTTTGAACTGGCTGAGTATAGACACTAGAATCCACTACCCGGTAACCATTCTTAGCAAAAAATGTGTTGATGGCTTTTATCCTTGCCTGCAAGAGACGAAATGGTATCAAATGCAACAACCAGGAGAAGAGAAGCAGAACTTGTGATTTTTGTTGCCTACCRAAATTATAACAAACAGAAATTGTTATTAAAAAACAGTCCAGKTGACAGTCTCAAAATATGCTAAAGGGAAGGATGAATATGCCAGAGAATCTCCCTTGCTTTCAAAATAAATGCTGCTGTCCATAGCAGCAACTGTCCATGCTCCAATTTCAAGTTTTACAAAGAAAATGACAGATTTCAATCTGCAGCAGATGCTGTCCAATTGACTAATTGTCCTCTCCCACTACAACCAGGCTGCTAATGCCTTACTATTTTTTTCCATAAATTCACCATGTTATTCAAATAAGAAAGTTTTATTCTGAAATCTCTCACCACATAAAACAGTCTTACCATTACTGGCTTGCCCTGAAAGGTTTTCACTTCTTCCCTTAAGTATTTGAACGCCTGCATATACAAAAAAAAACAGACACATTAGAATACACTGATAAAAATAATAAAGAACATTATTTAACATAAAATCCAAGCCATATGCTTTGCTGTTAGGGGTCAGCTAAACTCACTAACCCTTCAAAATTACAAATATTTGATGTCAGTCCCTCATGTACTCAGGGACTGGGTGCTGTAATTTCATTATTATTGCGCGCTTGGGCAAGTATTAGACAAAAGAACTGCAACCCTCAGCTTTTCTTCTGTATCAACTACAATATGCCAATAACATCTAAAAATATCAAAAAGGAGAYCAGTAAATAAATGAATATCTTGGCTATAAACAGCACACACACAGCCCTCCCAAGCAGGGGAAGCATTAAGGGGCTTGGGACATCACGCTGAGCCAAGAGCAGCCTTACCTGYTGCGCATCTGTATCCGACTGGAATGTAACGTACCAGTTGTTGTTGTGAGCAAACTCACAGCTTATCACTTTAGGGCAGTTCTCATTTTTAAACAGAGCCTTCACCTCCTGAGGGAGACAAAACTCTGTTGTTAAGGGGATCTAGTCCAAGCTCTAAGCTGCGAGTTGAGCAGTAAACTTCTAGATCAGGAGAGTCATCCATACAGGAGTGACCAGGAGCTCTACCCAAACAAAAGAGCTTGACAGCTCTGCAATAGTCAAGAGTTTAAAAAGGGGACAAATCAGTTGTTCAGCATTTGCATTAAAAGTACAAGTTAAAAATGCTATTGACAAACACCCCTCTGTCACAACTTTAAAAAACAAAGAACTAAACTATTCTATGTGCCAAATGTCAATAGGAATTTCATTATCCTCCCTTCTCTGAACATAATGAGCTCAGCTCACACTGGGTCACAATGAATGAGAAATGTTTAATAATGTCTGTAGCTGCCAAAACAACTGTCTGACTTCAAGTAAAGTTACTGCTGTGACAAAAATTCAGTCTGAATTCCAAGTCATGTCCTGGACCGATTTTATTTCTGAATCTGAAAAGAAACCAGATCAAGCACCCTTCCAGAAAAGCCTTTGTAGCTCAAGTTTCTATGAAGAAAAAAAAACTTATGTAACAGCATTTTAATATATTAGTAAAAGAAGGGAAAGGGGGAAATGACAAGATTTTAGTCTAGCCTTTTTGATGTTAAATCAAGGCAGCAAAAAACTCATTGCTAGTTTACAAAAAATACCAGAGTTGAATTCAATTAAATAATCGTCAACCTTTAAAGCGTGTTGCTGTTTCAGAGAGGGCCCGTTTTTTACCTCTATAGGTGTCGTTTCAGGGATCTCACGAAGAATAATAATACATCGTTTGTGGTTTGGTCTGACTTTCTCCCCTCTCTCATCTACTTGTACCATAGGAGAAGCTGAAATTGAAATACAAAGTGTGGCTTAATAGTGGACACTGGATACTGTAGAAGCTCTCAGCAGTACCAGACTCCTCATATCCAAGTTGTAACAAAGAACTTCATCAAACTGCCAAACAAAATGGATTTCTTGAATTCAGAGCAAAAGGACTCTTATCAGCTTCCTTCTCTTCAATCTTCAGTATATTTTAGTTACATATCCTGCCTCTATCCACAGTTCAGGTATCCAAAAAGCTCAGTCTCAAATTACATTCAATCTAGAACAGCCATGTTATACAAATATTATCTGGAGATAAGGGTTCTCTTTCCCGTTTTCTTGGAACAACGTGTCATAACCACCTAAGACACTAACATGTTTCTCTAAAGCAAGCAAGGGGGTTTTGTTCTACTAACGTAGACATCAAACGCACAGACTTACATCTCAAAACTTCAAGAATCAGATCCATATCCGTTGTCAGCTTCTTAATACCTTCCATGTTGGCAATTGTCCATATGGGAACAAACTGATCACTATCCATTTGAGACATCAGATAGAGATCCTTTGAGAGATTCTCCCTGGAGATACACAAACACAGCCTTTCAGCAAACCCTGGACTTCAGGAACAGGACTAACAACAAAATAGTAACTCCAGCCTTCAACAGACAGAGATTTGCTGGAAATACCCAACTAAATTATCCCCACATCCTACACGCATGAAACACAGAAGTTAAACTGAATTCTTATTAAAAGACTGACACTACTGATACCACAATGTTTCTGTAACATTTCAGTGAAACTTGTTTTATATTCCAACCAACCAATCCCCTTTCACAGCTAACTGAATAAATGAAAATGCAAGCACAGCACATATAGAGCCAAAAATGAAATTGCAATCAACACTTTTAATAAAGGTTTTGCATGTAGCTGAATTAACCGTACTATACCGTGAGAAGCAGAATTCAAGCTGTTTTTTCAGGCATTCTCTAATGTCTTCTGTGGACACAGCAGAGCTGCCTTCACCTGAAAGTTATCACATTTACAAAACAGCATCAGGTCTCAGTTCACACTGAGAACACAACGCAAGGAGTTTCATCACGTAACGTAAGCGTGAACCCTTCTGGATAAAGAGGGGAGAAAAAGGTACTTTAGATGTTCTTAAACAGCACCACATTGCGCATTCCAGGTTGCATCAATCCTGTCAGAGCAATTTATACCCCATGGGTTTTTTTTCAGTTGCCCAAGCACCATGGCTGGCTTAGATCCCCTGAAGCAGGAACTGCATGGAAAATTTCAAGCTTCTACTAAGAATTTACAAGTGACACCTGAACTCGGAAAACACTCACTGTACTAAGAGCCAAGGGTTGTTTTCTGCACAAGCCAGGAGATGCACATACACTGCTTTTTCTTTTGCATCCCCAGGTGAGCAGAAAGATACCCAAGAGGTCGGCTAAGTTAATTACCAACTACACTAACAGCTCCTATCTGCACACATGTGTTTGCTACTTTAAGCAGTTTCAAGACCTGTCCACAAAGAACACAGTATCAGTAGCTTCTATCAGCACTGCCTTGAGCTAACCTACTGCATAAATTGTGCTTAAACTTCTCAAGATCTTGTCCCCCCTGCAACAGTATTAAAATTCAAATTAGAAGTTAAATTGTAGAACAAGAATAGAATTCTCCTTTCGGAATTGTAACATAATGTATAAACTACAGTTGAAAAAGTATAAACAACCTAAACCAACCGCAGGACAGACTGACTCCTCACAGGTTGGCCAAAAGGAAACGCTTCCCTTGAACGCTATAGAAAAGGAGCCTCCTGCCCTGCCAAGCCTCACACAGCTGGGCTAGAGCTCTCCAAACGCCCGTGCTTTACAAGCGATCTTCTCTGGATTAGAAAAGACATGGACTTCAAAATGTCTAGAGATGGGCAGAGGGCAATCAGAAAGGCCAAATTAACTGCATGAGACTTCACAGCAGGGGCTGACAGCCTAACTGCACATGAACACTCACCAGAAACTTCATAGATTTGGTAGCCAAGATCTTCAGTTGCTAGGACCATTCCATTTGCAGACGCCTCATCAACCACTGTGCCATTTCTTGTAGCTTCACAAGATGGGGAATACATCACTTCATATTGCTTGCAGCTATCCTCTGAAATCTCTGTGTTACCTGGCAAAAACAACACATCGTCAACAGAAAGAATACTAGAAGCTCCAGATTTTTTTCACTTGAGGAGTTTTGGCTACCAACTTCAAAAGAAGAAATGCAATAATTGAATAGTTTACACTTTCAATGTCTACTTTGTACTGGGTCGCACTTTCTACCTATTTTCATGAAGATTCTGGCTTGCACTAGAGTTTTATCAAAAACGACAGGAAAACAACAGAATTTTGAAATTTTAAGACCATTAAAATGCAGCAGAGGCTTTAAGAACAGGCTTACTACCCAATATTTAAAATACTGAAATTAGTTTCCTGAAAAACAAAGCACTTAAATAGTTTATATCACCAAATGACTTATTCAACATCCTGCATGATCCTTATTTATATAAGGACTCAAAAGCATCAAGTGCTTGTTATAAAACCACACTGGAATTATGCTGAAATTGGCCAATCTCTCGTTCAAGACACTTCAGTCTTCAGCACAGCTGCTTGGAATAGAAATAAGTATAATTTCACTTTATTTCTACAGTCAGGCAAGATTATTCAAATTATTCTCTACTAGATCGTTTCCACACTAATGACTAAAAGTACTATTTTTTGTGGTTAGAATTGAGACTAGTCAAGCAGTTTCCAACAGTTCACATCGCTTGTAAAGCCATAAAATTGTCTGAAGAAACCTCCCTTAACTTCCCAAACAGTACAACATTTATGTGCCTATTTCAGGTTGTTATGAAGAGACAAATGAGCTTCTTGGCCAGTGCACAAGTTCAGCTCTCAGTTTCTCCCGACTTATCAGAAACTTCTCACRCAGCCACACGGGCAGAACCCTCCCTCCTTGATCCCTAACTTGGCCTAAACCTTTTCCAAGGAATCTTCTGCTTCCTACCTCGACAGACCTCCACTCTGTTTCAAGTAACCTCAGCTCTACAATTCACCTTGATTCTAAAATGAATCAAGATCTAAAACAGTGGAATCTGTATTTAATTCTAGAAGACAGGCTTAAACACATGGTAAGGATGGAAAAATAGAGATGGAAAGTGAATACAGGCTTAAACCGGATAATTATTAATGCTTTGCAATTCTAGTCCAGCACAAATGCCACTGTGCAACAGTTCTCAGCAGCAGCAGCACGGCAATCTACCAGGCTTGCAGGTGGCCCTCAGAGCTATAATTTTCCTGTTCACAGGGTCAAGATATACTAAAGTGCAGCAATGGTGAAGGACAATCATGAAACCATTCCACACCTTTAGCAACCTGTATCCCTCTTAGCGCGTTACTTGGTCATCATCGGGCCCTCTGAGCACTGCTGCTCCTGCTTGAGCATCCGCTCTGGATTCCTCACTCAATTCCTAAACCAAAGTTCASACATCTAATCTCTAAGAACAATTATCTATCTACTCCTTTGTCATATTTGTTTATAGCCATGACTGGAGCAGCACTAATAGCCTCAAGGGCAAGAGGCTGCACCTCACGACTAGCCCGAGTCTCACAGCAAATACTCTGTGCTAATTAGCAAGGACCCCTCACGGCCGTCGCGACGTCTCACCCTCGGCCTGGGGCCCCTGCGCAGCCGCCGTCTCTTGCCACGAGTGCTCAGCGCCATTTGTTGCCGGCGCAGCCTCGCCGCTCCCTTGGGGGACTTCTTGCCACACTTTCGCATTAGGGTTTAAGCCAGCACCTTTCGACGGTACCTGCTGAAGAGACCAGAACACTTGTATTAGAAAAGGAAAGCCAAAAATGATTTAAAAGCCCAGCCAGGCAAGACAGCTGAATTTATCAATTTCCTAGCAGTTGCCCATCATAAGCTTCTAACCACTTATTCTAAATGACATTCTAACCAATGTCATTTTTCACTGACTGCAACTGGAAAGTCCTGGGTATTTTCCAAGTATTTAGTTTCTACCTCCATCATAGGCGTTGCCTCCAGCCTCCTTTACTGACATCCAAAAACATCAGAAGAAGCAACTAGGTGTGAAGAACTCTGACAGCCCATAAAGTTTATGGTCTTGACTTTCAATCCTCCAATCCCCTTCCACCAAAAAGGGAACTTTTCCCTATTGGATGCCTCTTCCTAGAAAGGAAGGTTAAAAAAAAATAAAGAAAAAAAGAAAAAACCCACATCTCAAGGGAAGTAAGCTGACGAGTTACTGAATTTGATTAGTCATGACACCTACCTGAAGAAAATATCAATTCTATATAAGCTAGGCCACTCTTTTCACATCAAATTTAGAAGGCAAAAGCCTCTGCAGAGATCCCAAAGCTCATCTAATTCAAAAAA